GATGTAGAGATGAGAAGAATGCAGATAAACAGGTACAATGTATGTAGGAGGATTTGTTTCATCTGAGGCCAGTCACTTCTTTGGGTATACACTCACCAGCCACTTTCTTAGGTACACCTTGTTAGTACTGGGTTGGACCCCGTTTTGACTTCAGAAGTGCCTTAAAGGGGATGTACAGCCAAAGCTCTTTTGGGCTAAGGCCCACTGTCAGCAGACATCACTCAGCTAGTCCAGGCTGGGGAAAGATCCTTACTTTAAAATTGGGATCCACTCCAGAGTCTGGAGCGGCACGTGGCTCAGCCAGCCGCTCTCTCCCCCTCCACAGCCCAGTACTCCATTGAGCACTATGGGGGAGGTGGAGGCAGATCAGACAGTGGTGTCTGACAGTCCTGCTCTTTGCTCAGAGCAACTGTGAGAACTCAGCGGTCAGCGGTGGATGCTGCATCCACCTAGGTAAGTAAACTGGGCCAAAAAAAAACCCTACTTCTCTTTGAATTCTTAGATCCAACAAGGTGCTGGAAACATTGACCATGAATTACTGTTGCCTTTCTATAATCTCAAACCAGTCTGCCCATTCTCCTCTGACCTCTGACATCAAGAAGATGTTTTTGTCCACACAACTGCCACTCACTCGATTTTCTCTTTTTCAGACCATTCTCTGTAAACCCTAGAGATGGTTGTGTGTGAAAATCCCAGTAGATCAGCAGTTTTTGAAATACTCAGACCAGCCCGTCTGGCACCAAGAACCATGCAACGTTCAAAGTCACCTAATGTGTTACTAAACCCAGGACCCGGCATTCACTATATATGGTCTCCCACAGTACACAGAACATGGAAATGCATTTATTTTAGTAAATATAAAACTGCTAAATACCTTTTCTCATCAGCAATTAGAGTCTTGTGACTGCTATCAGTGCTCAGCAGAGCACTGGTTAAAGCTTGTAGGAGTTTTCTTTCTCCCCTGATTGTCCTATGAGGCTGCTATGACTCTCTGTCTGGACACTGCTGATTGGCCCTGTGCTAATCACATGCACTTTCTTAAATGCTCTAAGCATGTGCAGCTTGCCCCCAAGGCTCTGTTCTATCAGCAGATGGATTGAGGACAGTAGAAGAAGGGGAGGATCAGAGAAGACAGGATCAAACAGCCTTTTTACACAATGCAAAGGATTAACCCCTTAGGCTCCACAGTGAGTATAACAAGCGTGCTTTATTGCATATACAGACTGATTTTACTGTTGTGGGTTTAGTAACACTTTAAATCCCCTTTGTTCCCCATTCTGATACTTGGTGTGAACTTCACCAAGTCATCTTCACCACGTCTAGATGCCTAAATGCATTGAGTTGCTACCACGTGATTGGCTGATTAGCAATTTGTGCTACCAAGCAATTGAAAAGGTGTACCTAATAAAGTGGCCGGTGAGTGTATGGAAGGGTTTACCAGCACTTTAAAGTGCTGGCCCCTGCCTATGTAAAGGGGTTAATGATAGAAAGTACAGCTTTTCTGAAATATTATACTATACTGTACATTGAGCTACGCCAGGAATTTACGCAGAATTTTAAAGTTGCTGAAAGATCCGCTTTAGGTGCTTAAATAGTCAGTGAATGTAATAAAGGCCTCATTATAAATAGGTTACAGAGAAGCACTACAAGTCCCAGCATGCCCCATGTAAGGTGAAAGGCTATTTGTGGGTTACCAGCAAGCAGCGAGATACGCTTGTACCGCCACTGCGATTAGCGGCGTCTTGTTTTAGTGCGTTTTGCTGTTAGAATATCATAAGAAGGTATCCAGTGCTGTACTGTACACATTGGAACAAAGAAAGATGAGGTCTAAGGGAGGTTTCCACCTACACTTAGGGACCGTCTGCCAGCGCTTTCCACTCGCCGCAAAAGGAAAAGGACTTTTAGGCAGCTTAGGGCTCCAGCCATGGAAAGTTTCGGATTTTTGATTCCCACTCCCTGCCCCCAAGTTGCGCGGTAATAAGCCACTCCAAGAATTTTCACTGGCAGTGCTTGGATCCAGCTGGGCGCTGGGCCATGCATGCATCTCATCTGGCTCAGAGAAGTTTCCGGAAAAGAAGTTTAAGTGCAGTGGGGGAGGAGGTTAGAATAACTTAGTGACGCAGGAGAAAGTTTAACCGTTCACACTCTGGACAGCGGATTTGTTTTTTTGTTTTTTTTACAGGTCTAAATGTTTAAAGAACTCTGAAATTAAAAAAGTTTGTTTAATTCTTGACTGCAGAGATGTCTATTCAACATGCGTTGGTCAATCTACATTCTGCATTGGTTTACACTGTAAAAAAAATGTTAAAAATGAGGCTGGGAGCATTTAGTCACAGCCGGGTTAGGTATAAAGAAAGTTATATCTATAAAAAAAAAAAAAAAAAAAAAAATAAACACCACAATGCACATAAAGAAAAACAAATCGCGGTGCACATTGCCATGCTGGGATGGTGCTGGGAATGGGATGGGTGCACAGCAGTTTGTTTTTAGTTACATGCATTGTGGCGTTCATGTTGCGTTTGGGCTGACTGGCGTGTTGTGATGTGAACCGACACTGAAAGTGGTTTTAAAGGAAAGACATTTTCTTAAATTATTTTTTTTATCGCCCCCTTACCTCCCTGTATGCTTACCCGAGTCCTATCTTGATCCAGCTCTGTGCCCATCTGTAGCTCTCTCCTCTCTCTCTGCTCAGAGGCAGCATTGGGAACCATTGGCTCCTGCTGCTGCCAGTCGAATCCAGTGAGCAGAGAGAGGGGCAAGGCCAAGCTGGGCTGTGTGTGTTGCCTATGGACACACACAGCCCAGCTCAGGATCAAACCTGCACTTGTGCTCCCATAACATACAGCTTGCTATGGTGGCACATGCAGAAGAGGATGAGCGTGGAGCACCGATGGGGGACACCAGAAGTATAGTTAAAGGCAACACTTGTTTTTCGAGTTTTAAAGGGAGTGGAGAGGTATTAGAACATCTATCATGTTTTTATTGTTGTCTGTGCCCCTGTTGGGGAGCCTCATCCTCTCTATTTGTCCTGTTTGGGTTGCCACAGTAATGGAGAAGAAATCGTCCGATGGGGACACTAGCTCTGGTAACCCTGATGACAGCCAGAGATTCCCTCACTTTGGAGTGAGTCCCTCTCACTTCCTGTTTTGGCTATGGGACAGAAATTGCAGGGAAACATCCCATTGGGACACAGATGGCAAAAAACAGACAGCGGTTATAACCCTCCTTTATTCTATGCAAAATGAAAAAACAGTTTTGATTTAGTTATACTTTAATACCCTGACTGTTAATACCCTGATTGTAGAAACAACCCCCCCCCCCCCCGGTAAATTTTTCCAGTGGCGAAAAAAGGTAAATGAGATACAACAAATGGAGGAACTAACACTCTCCCTCCATAACCAAAATTAGCTATTTAGAAAAACAAATGGTTGTATTGGCCTAAAATTACTGCTTTGGCAGAATATTGGGCTCTGCTAAAAAGACAGTTGAGTCAACCATACTAGATCATTCTTTTCTTCTCTGAAGTTCTTGTAGGGGGACCTTGAGAGGACATGGTAAGAAGGGTAGACCCGTCATCCTTACCTTCTCATTCTCCCTATTAGCTCCCCATCCCCCCTTAACCACTTGCCTACAGGGCACTTATACCCCCTTCCTGCCCAGGCCAATTTTCAGCTTTCAGAGCTGTCACACTTTGAATGGCAATTGAGCGGTCATGCAACACTGTACCTATATAACATTTTTATCATTTTTTTGAGACCGATAGAGCTTTCTTTTGGTGGTATTTAATCACCTGTGGGTTTTTTACTTTTTGCTAAACAAACAAAAAACAGAAATTTTTTTTTTTATAATTTGTTTCTTAATTTCTGTTATAAAATTTTGTAAATAAGTGATTTTTCTCCTTCACTAATGAGGCTGCAGTGATGGGCACTGATGAGGAGGCACTGATGGGCATTGACAGGCATCACTGATGGCCATTGAAAGGCAGCACTCATATATGGTGCTGATAGGCGGCACTGACTGGCACTAATAGGCGGCACTGACTGGCACTGATAGGTGGCACCGACTGGCACTGAAAGGCAGCTCAGATGGGCACTGATATGTGGCATTGATGTGCATTGATGGGCACTGGCAGGTGACATACATTGATGGGCACTGACAGGTGGCACTGCTGGGGCTACACTGATCATCAGGGCACACTGATGATCAGTGCCCTGATGATCAGTGTACATGTCCCCTCTGAGCAATGCCAATTATTGTCTCTCCTCTCCTCATGAGCTGTCAGCTCGTGAGGAGAGAAATGCAGATAACTAGCATTTCCTTATTTACATGCGATCAGCTGTGATTGGACACAGCTGATTACATGACAGAGCTGACGTCTTCGGCTCTTTCCATTGATTGGTGCTCTGCTGTGTCCCAGGGACACAGTGGCTTACCGATCGCCACTCCGCGTGCCTCCAGGGGCACGCATGTGTGGTTAGAGTGGGAGGACATCATATGATGTCCTCCCACAACAAGAAAACCGCCTTGCGCTCGTCATTTCCTTATATGGCGGGCGGGAGGCGGTTAAACTACAACACCCTTCCTCAATGGGAACCTTTCCCTAACACTAAATACACTGTCCCTAACCAGCGGAAATCCTGTCCCTTCTCTATCCACTTTGCAAATGTGCGCCAACTGCAGTGGGGCAGTGCTATTTATTAGCATTACCCTCACTAAAGTTGGCCATGGAGGACAACCAGTGTTGCAGTGTCCAATTGGACAGCTGGTCCCCTGAGGACACCTATGGAGGCTTCAGAGAAACACAACTTCCATTCCCTCTGTATGCCTGCACCTGCCTACAACCTTCAACCCTCTTACCTCCTGCCCCGATTCTCCAAAAGCCTCCTTGAAAAAGTGCAGAACCTCATCTCCCATATCTCCATGCTTTTCCAAATTTTAATTTGTGGTTTGGATAGTATAGGGAAGAGTTAAAACCCCTGTTGGTTTTTTTTTTTTATGTATGTCCTATTGGGGAGATTACCCTTTGCTTCCTTTCTCAGAGACACAACAGTAAAGTTAGAAGAAATCTCCAAAGTGATTGGAATTCTCTTAGACAGTTGTCCCCAAAACATGTTACCATTGGACCTCTTGTTTTGGCCAAAATTCTACAATTTTGGATTTCCCCTCACTTATTTTCTCGGTGACAATGGTCACCAGTACAGATACAGGGGTGAATCTCCCCAGCAGAGACATAGACTAAAATAAAAACTTGATAGAGGTTATAACAATTCTATTCAAAACTAAAAAAAAGGGTTGGTCTAAAGATACACTTGGGTGGAATACAGCAGGGACACAAACAGCAGAAAGAACCCAACAGAGCAGCTAGCCCTTCCCCACTCTATGCCAGAACTAAAGAAAAACATTTTTGGCTGGACTTGGGTATTCTTTCTTTATGCTTACTTGCTTAAAGGGTCGTTTACATAAAATGACTCGGGCACATTCTTGCTTGCGTTCCGAGTTATGTACATCAATACATGTTGGCGGACATCCAAATACAGATTAAACTCAGCTTTTCAGCAAACAAAGCTAAGTACTACAACTTAAACTAATTCAGAATGGAGTCTGGACGCAGTAAGCAAGTTATGCAAACAGAGTCTTTTTGGAAACAGAAAATGCACTTTTCCAAGACAGTCCAACAATGGAATCAAAGATATTGTTTAATAAAACTGAAAGATCAAGAGCAGAACATAAAAGGATACTTATCTGTATTAGGGAAATAAATAAAATATAACAAACATAGCATGCAAGTTGTCACATCCTTATATCTACCTAGCTTTAAACATACAAACATATTTACGGTGTATACATGACGTCCACATATTCTCAATATTATATACATGGTGTTCACATATTCCCCAATTGTATATACATAGTGCCCACATATTCCCCAATAATATATACATGGAGCCCACATACTGTATTCTCCAATATTATATACATGGTGTCCACATATTCTCCAATATTATACCCATGGTGCCAACATATTCTCCAATATTATACCCATGGTGCCTACATGTTCCCCAGTATTATATACATGGTGTCCACATATTCTCCAGAATAATACATGTTCCTACATATTCTCTAGAATAATACATGTGCCTACATATTCTCCAATATTATACCCATAGTGCCTACACATTCCCCAATAAGATACCCATGGTGCCTACCAGAGGCGGACTGACAACTCATGGGGCCCCCGGGCAATAGGGGTTCATGGGGCCCCTGTGTCCTTGCCCAAACTCAAAAAAGCCTATGAAAAAGGTACCCGAGGGCCCCCTACTGACCCCGGGCCCTCGGGCAGTGCCCAAGTTTCCAAATGGTCAGTCCGTCCCTGGTGCCTACATATTCCCCAGTATTATATACATGGCAGCCACATATTACCCAATATTATATACATCATGCTCATGTGTATAAATATTAGGAATATGTGGGCACCATGTACGTTATATAACATTGGTTAATATGTAGGCACCATGGGTATAATATTGGAGAATATGTGGGCACCATGAGTATAATATTGGAGAATATATGGGCACCGTGTATAATTATCTATTATGTATCGTATATGCAGTCATGAGCTGGACCCGCAGTCATCTGTGTATTTGGTGGAGAAAAAAGAGGGCCAACCTGCAGCAGTACTTTTCCATATTGTCATCCAAATAATATATACATGGTGCCCATATATTCTCCAATATGATATACATAGTGCCCAAATATTCCCAATATTCTATACATAGTGGCCATGTATTCTCCAATATTATATACCGAATGTCGCAAACGTACACAACAGAGAATGACGCAGTCCGCCATTTTGTTAAGAGTATCCATTTTTCTCCCCTCACTCCCTCCCCCTCCCTCTCTCTGAGAGGAGACATTTGTGTGTGTGTGTGTGTGTATGCTGGTTGTGGGTCACTGGCAGGCCAAGGCATCTCTGAGCTAAGTGCCTAGCTGTCTGGGCGAACTGTCCCATTTCACACCTCGGAAGAGATAAGGCAAGCTTTCTTCAGAGTTGAGAGAGATTCCAATGTAATAAAACCTAACTCAGCGTAGGTGACAGAATCAGATAACCTCTGTTAAAACCATTTTTCCCCTATGTCTCATATCTTGGAATATGACAGACTTACATAAAAACCGAGCATATCGCCAGATGGGCTAAGAGGAGCCGAACATTTTGGATGGTCACTCGCCTTGTCTTGGACACACAGGAAAGCAGAAAAATAGATCTCACAAACCGTTCAGTGTACACTTTCATAATTCATATCTAATCAATCCTCAGACTAGTCTGCATAATAATCTACCCGCGGGTGGAGTGTCACTTGTGCAGATGAAAAGTTATAGGCCAAATATGAGTTATGGGAGATTTGTGCTCTAGTTGAGGCATCCACCCATCTCTCCCTAAGCGGAGATTGGTCCTTGACTGCAGAGCCACCCCCTGCTGGGGACTACAAAACAGGCTGTCAGGTCATCAATACCACCTGGGAAGACCCCTGCCTTTTGCTCTGAAACGTGGATCTGCTAACCCAGGACTTTGGCAAGTACCTTAACCCTTTCTCCTCTCTCTGATATCTCTTTTGCTGTGCTGTTGGTCTCTGTATGTTTATATATATATCTTAGTGACATCTTTTTCTGTAAATATTTTCATTGCACCCATTTGACCTTTTAGTAATAAATCTTTCCTTCTGAAAATGTTGAACTGTTTCTATAGCGCTTTTATTCACGAATTCCTGCCTCTAAAGAGACGCTACTGTGTTTGTTTAACCCTCTGGATAATCGGCCTGTGAGGACCGTATTATGCAGACGATTATCTCAACCAGTACAGTGTTTTAGCTGATAGCGCCGAGTTTCCTCTTTCTTTGTACAAAAAGGAGGTGGATGTGTCATGTTACACACGTCACAACGTGGTTTTAGATTTGAGAAGTAGCTCCCTTTCGTTCACATTTGGTGAGAAGGTCTGGGGTCTGACGCCAAGCGTGACACCGAATAGCCCAATTCCCAATGCATAATATACATGTGCTCCAATATCTCCTCGAATTATACATGGTGCCCCACATATATCTATGCCACCTGGCAGTGTGAAGGGTTAATTGCGTAATTAACCTGACCCAGTAACAACTGCTCAGGCTGACGGTACATCGCTTTGTGGTCCATTAGCTGGAAAATCATTGTGCAGGGTGCAGCTGGATGTGGCATTGTTACACACGTCACATCGCGGTTTTAGATTGAGTAGTCCTTCGGTCACGAGTTTGGTGAGAAGGTCTGGGGTCTGACGCCACGAGCGTGACACCGAATGCCTACGAATTCCCAATATTATATACATGGTGTCCACATATTCTCCAGAATAATACATGGTGCCCACATATTTGCCAATAATATACCCATAGTGCCTGCATATTCTCCAATATTATGCCCATGGTGCCTACATATTCCCCAATAAGATACCAGCGGTGCCTACATATTCTCCAGTATTATATACATGACAGCCACATATTACCCAATATTATATACAGTACATCATGATCGTGTGTATATATATATATATATATATATATACATACATACACACGGTATATTATATAATATTAGGAATATGTGGGCACCATGTACGGTATATAACATTGGGGAATATGTAGGCACCATGGGTATAATATTGGAGAATATGTGGATACCATGTATTATTATCTTTACGTGTCATGAGCTGGACCCTCACCATCTGTGCATTTGGTGCAGAAAAAGGAGGGTCAACTTGGAGCAGTACTTTTCCATATTATCATCCCAATATTATACACATGGTGCCCATATATTCTCCAATATGATATACATAGTGCCCAAATGTTCCCAATATTATATACATAGTGGCCATATATTCACCAATATTATATACCTAATGCCTGTGAATTCCCAATATTATATACATGGTGTCTACATATTCACAATCTGTCTGTGAGTAGACAGTAAAAAGAGAAAGCAGGAGACTGAGAACTTCATCACTCTGTTACTCTGCTCTTGGCATGTCCCTTGATAGCAAACGTTGCACGACAATTTGGCTACTTGTGCGGCTTCTTCCTCACCCAGTCTGAGCTCTGATGTACAACAGATTGCAATATGCTGATACTGAGACTGCAACAGACTCAGTTAATGTAGTAAATACTGATAAGTACATTCACAGTCAAAAAGTGCAGATTAATGTTTACAGAATCTCATTCTTTACAGAGTTCAACCTTGATTTTGCTACACAACAGTGTCATTCATCAGCTTCAAAGTCATTTTATCTGCATCAAAAGGGCAGAATGGTGACCTGCATGTAGAACATAGCTCCAGCCAATTTTCTTTTTTTTGGTAGCTGTGGATAGATTAAGGGAGACTTGAAACTTCTGTTAGGTTTGTATTCGTGCTTATGATCCCAGTGAGGAGCTTTCTCCCTTACTTTCTGTCTCTTTGATGGCCCTACAAGAAACTAAAGGTGCAATTGTCACTGGAACAAGAAAGCATAGACAGCAATAAAAGCATCATCAGAAGTCCTGTTAAAACATTGTTGATGTCTGTGGAAAAATCACTTCTGTAGGGTCACAGACATCATTAAAAACCTGCGCTAGTAATAGGTCAAAAAAACAATATATACTATAAACAAAAACACAGAAAAAATTAAATCGTATCAATTCCAGAAAAAGATTAGATATAAAAGTCCAAAAAATATATACATTATATATATATTTTTTTTTGGGGGGACTTTTAATATTGATTTATATATTTTTGGGGACTTTTATATTTAATATTTTTCTGGAATTGATACAATTTAATTTTTTCTGTGTTTTTGTTATAGTATATATTGTGTTTTTGACCTATTACTAGTGCAGTCTTATTTATTCACATTTGTATGTACCTTCACAGAGGGTAGACTTTGCAGCTGGTTTATTAATTAATTTGGGTCTTTATTATTATTTACTAAATTTTGGTATCTGGCGCTATCTATATTTATCTAATCAATAAAAACCTGAGAGAGGCTCTAATGCTACTCTTTTGCAAACTATAAAAAAAGAAGAGATTTTTCTAGATTTTAAAATGAGCATTGATTCACTCAGACTCTCCAGTAACAGGTTCATTTGACAGGCCCATACATAGATACCTACCTTCCATTCACTCCATTTAGTGGCTAGAATGGAAGAGAGAGAACCCAGTGTAACGTCCAAGGTGTGACTTAGAGCCAACACAGAACTGAGGACTCTCCATCCCTCCCTCAGGTGAAAGCATTGGTAGTCTGAGTAGCCAATCACAGGTGCTGTTATGTGGGATAAAGGAAAGTAGGTCACATGATCCCCTTACCTGTAAGTATTAGGTATCACCCCTGGCGGTAATTGGTACTGCAGAGGTAAAGCACAAAGGTGCAGTTACTCACAGCTACCAACCAGTGACCTTTCTTTATACGTCTGTCCATTCTACGTTGTTAACAGAAGAGTTCTGGTTGTTATCATGCAGGACCATAGCTAAACCTTTAGTCTCCAATGAACATCCATGACAGACCTTCCCATCATTTCCTGCATTTAACTGACTAGCAAGCGCCATGTATGGAAAATTGCTCAAGCAAAGCCAAAATGGTGCCTTATACATTTGCTGTCCCCTATCTCGAGGGGCCTGGTGGAGTATAAAGCTGGCCATAAATGGCTCAATGTTCAGCTGATTCCTGATGATTTGGCCAAACCTTGAGCAGTGGTTGGCCCTGTTGGCAACCTCTGGCTTGACAAAATTTACCATCAACTGAACCTGGTGGAAAATAGTCAGCCAAATGGGTGAGTGCATCCATGTTCAGGTATTCAAACAGCAGTGGGTGTCAAAGCTGTTTGAGTACAATAGACAGCAGTGGAAATCTCATTCAAGCTGTCTATGTCCAACTGCCATCGTACTGTACCTGATAGAATGCGCCGTTGACCCTGGCACTTGGAATCAAACTATTTCCTTACAATGAAGAAAAGGAAACTGAATCCACAGCAAGATCTGAAAATAATGAAATGAAGGTTATTAAAATGAAAAACAAGGACGTGACTCAGAGTTTCCCCTGTACCCTTCCCGTAACGTTACGTTTTTATGTGTGACACAGCCTTGTACAGACAGTAAGTGGTACGATACTACAATAGCTACACATGCTTCTGTCTATATGGATGGCAAAATGACCGTTTGCCATATTTGCACGTATGTGCAAATAACAGCATTTATCATTTTCACGGATGAAGAGATAAGATGCATTCCTAGTGGTGGGACGAGTTTTTAGTGAATGGATAGGCTGGATAGGCTGCACTCCCAGAAATGTTACCAGTCTCAAGTAAATGAATATGCTGTGTTTGCAATGGTGTCACCAATCACTAGTGAATGGATAGGTTACATTTTCAATGATGTCACTAGGTAATAGACAGGCTACCTTTTTAGTGATTTCATTAGTCTGTAGTGAATAGGTAAGCTGCATCCTCAGAGCTAATACCAATCTCAAGTGAAAATATAGGCTGCATTCGCACCAATTTCATGGGTCTTTAGTGAATGGATTGGCTGCCTTCTCAATGATGTCACCTGTCTCTACTGAATGGATAGGCCTGCGTTCTTGATGATGTCACCAGTATCTACGGAACAGATAGGCTCAGAATAGATGTATTCTCAGTAATGTCACCAGTCTCTAATGAATGGATAGACTGCTTTCCTTTTCGTGTCACCAGTCAGTGAATAGACAGGCTGTATTCTCAGTAATGTCACAGATCTTTGTTAAACGGATAGGATGCCTTCGTGTTGATGTCACTGGTGTTCAGCAAATGGACAGGCTGCGTTCTCAATGATATCACCAGTCTCTATAGACTGCAGTCCCAGTGATGTTGAGTCTCTAGCAGGGGCGTACTGACAACTCATGGGGCCCCCGGGCAATAGGGGAATCATGGGGCCCCTGTATCCTTGTCCAAACTCAAAAAAGCCTATGAAAAAGGTACCAGGGGCATCTCATGGGGCCCCCTACCGACCCCCGGCCCTCGGGCAGTGCCCGAGTTTCCAAATGGTCAGTCCGCCCCTGGTCTCTAGTTAGTAGATAGACTGCATTCTCAATGATGTTAGGCTGCGTTCTTGATGATGTCACCAATCACTAGTGAATGGATAGGCAACCTACATTCTCCATGATGTGACCAGTCTGTAGTGAATGAATAGGCTGCATTCTTGATGATGTCACCAATCACTAGTGAATGAATGGCAGGCTACATTCTCCATGATGTGACCAGTCTGTAGTGAATGGATAGGCTGCATTTGTGATGATGTCACCAATCACTAGTGAATGGATAGGCCACATTCTCCATGATGTCGCCAGTCTCTAGTGAATAGCTAGCCTACATTCTCCATGATGTGACCAGTCTGTGGTGAATGGATAGGCTGCATTTTTGATGTCACCAATCACTAGTGAATGGATAGGCTACATTCTCCTTGATGTCACCAGTCTCTAATGGATAGTTAGGCTACATTCTCCATGATGTCACCAGTCTGTAGTGAATGGATAGGCTGCATTTTTGATCATGTCACCAATCACTAGTGAATGGATAGGCTACATTCTCCTTGATGTCACCAGTCTCTAATGAATACTTAGGCTACATTCTCCATGATGTCACCAATCTGTAGTGAATGGATAGGCTGCATTTTTGATGTCACCAATCACTAGTGAATGGATAGGCTACATTATCCTTGATGTCACCAGTCTCTAATGAATAGTTAGGCTACATTCTCCATGATGTCACCAGTCTGTAGTGAATGGATAGGCTGCATTTTTGATGATGTCACCAATCACTAGTGAATGGATAGGCTACATTCTCCTTGATGTCACCAGTCTCTAATGAATACTTAGGCTACATTCTCCATGATGTCACCAATCTGTAGTGAATGGATAGGCTGCATTTTTGATCATGTCACCAATCACTAGTGAATGGATAGGCTACATTCTCCTTGATGTCACCAGTCTCTAATGAATACTTAGGCTACATTCTCCATGATGTCACCAATCTGTAGTGAATGGATAGGCTGCATTTTTGATGTCACCAATCACTAGTGAATGGATAGGCTACATTATCCTTGATGTCACCAGTCTCTAATGAATAGTTAGGCTACATTCTCCATGATGTCACCAGTCTGTAGTGAATGGATAGGCTGCATTTTTGATGATGTCACCAATCACTAGTAAATGGATAGGTTTCATTCTCCTTGATGTCACCAGTCTCTAATGAATAGTTAGGCTACATTCGCCATGATGTCACCAATCTGTAGTGAATGGATAAGCTGCATTCCTAGAAATGTTACAGCTTCCATTTTATCACCAAGCTTTTTTGCTTCCTAACCAAACTACAACTGCCTGGAATATAGAAAAACAAAAAATAACCTACAAATTTGTATATGAGGTGCAGTAAGGAAAATACAAAAGATCATGAAATGTAAAAATAGGATAGTCATATGTTGCATTATTATTGAATGCTCTGCTCAATGAAAAATGAAAATAGGTTTTTTAGATCATCTCTAAAGTGGAACTTCACCCCTAAAGGGAAGTCCCACTTTTCTGCCTCCGCACCCCCTCCTCTTTAACTTTTGGGGGGGGAGTGGGCACCTGGTTATGACAGGTCCCGATCCCACTTTATAATCCAAAAGGAAGTTAGACCCCCTCTCCAGTTTGTAGCTCCAGTAAATGCTGGAAGAGCAAAGCTGAGTGGTGATTGACAGTCACTGCTCTCTGCTCTAAGCACACCAAGAACTCATCAGGTAAGGATGTGAATTATCACAAACCCATCTATGCCTCAATGAAACTTGGGGATAATAATTGCTGGTCTGTATGTAAGTTCTACCCACTGGTCTAATTACAGACCAGCAATTATTATCCCCAAGTTTCATTGAGGGATAGATGGGTTTGTGAGTATTCACGTCCTTATCTATTCACTCCATATGCTATGTGTGTTAAGTGAATGTGGTAGTGGTAGACAACATGAGGGCTGGTGGTGGTGAGTATTATTTATTTTATTAAATTCATATTTTGTATTGTGTATGCAACTTTTTAAAATGTATCCAAGAAACAATTTAAATAATTTTACATGGGTATATGCCAATTTAGTTCTAAGAAGTAACCTGATTCTTGGGGGGGGGTCTTTCACCCTCCTATATATATGTATTTGCTGCTCTTTTTGGTTACATAGAACTACATCTAAAGAGGTGTGGGCACACCATGGAATAAAAGCTCCTTAGGTAGTATATCATTTTGGATTGGTATAGGTGTGGTCTAGGTTTGGAATAAGTGCAGTATAGAGTGCAGTATGGATTGGGCACACATGATGTTCTGCTCTCAGTGGCTCAGTCCCTCCTAACAGTATCAGCAATGGGTGAATATCCCACTCACCAGTCCCCTGAATGCTGCGGTGACCTCTCGCTGTAAAAGGGGGGTTCCCCTCAGTCTCTATCCCTGAATGCTTCCGGAGATACAGCTGTGGGAAGTAGAGGGTGAGAGGATGCTCTAGTCTCCCTGCAGCAACGGTGCAGATGTGCTGTGTCTCTGTTGGTCTGACCTCTCAGTAGACTTGTCAGTATGCAGCAGATGTACTCTCCTTGGCTCCTGAGCAGTCTCCAAAAAGCAACTTAAAGAGGTGCTCCAGTCTCCTATGTAAAAATGAAAAGTCAGCAACTACAAAAACTGTAGCTGCTGACTTTTAATAAACAGGCACTCACCTGCCCCACAATGTGCTTAACCCAGCTGATTTCACCTTCTGTCCTCTATCCAGCATCTTATGGACATCCAGCTTTGACAACTTGCAGCTTCACAGCCGGGTGCCCACTGCATGTGCGCGAGACGCACTGCTCATTGAGAATGGTCCCGCAGTATTCTGGGACTTGTCATGTGACTGCAGGGAGGAGGGGGGAACTTCCGCTTCCAATTGCCTAGGTGGTCAGAGCGGAAGTGGGAGTGTGTACCTGTCAATCAAAATCAGGGACTCACTCCCTCCCCTTACCCCAAAGCTCCATTTCACAAACAGGAGTGGGAGAGGAGGCCTAAAGCCAAACTTCCCCTTTTGGGAGGAGCTCTTCTTTAACTCTTCATCCTTGCCCCAGTATCTCTTGGGAATTACAGTGTAAGGAGACCATTTGTCCCATTATATGGCTGCCGTCTCAAACTACAGCTCCCAGGATTCTTACCTCTCTGCATAGGAGTCTTTGAGCTTGCTTGCATTTAGCTCTCCCCTTGCTGGCTGGAGGAGAATGGTGCAGCAAAAAATTAGTATCTCAGTAGAGGGAGAGAGAAGAATGAAATGCAATGTTTTCTGCTCCATATTGCAAAAAAGGAGATAAAGCCTGAAAATTTAAAATGAATGCAGCCACCTCACTGTAGGTCTGGTAAGCTGCAATATATTACATTTTTGCCATGAGTTTGAATATACTTTATGTCTTAGAGTGGCTGTGATATCCATCTCCTCCTTCAGGATGTCTCCAAGAATTTTTATGATACATCTGGAATGAACATTTCTATCAGTGATATGGTGTCCCCAGGAGGAGAACCTATTTTATTCTGATTTTGTAGATACATGTGACTTTCATTTCCTTTTGTATGTTCTTCTTTCTTTTTTGCAAATAAGAAATATACACACCGTGTCAAAAAAAAATCTTTTCCAAAAGAAAAACGTCCACAAGTAGATGTCCTGCCTACAATCCACCTCAATATCCAGTGAATTTTAAAACACTGAATGAACGTAGATTGATGCCATTGTCAAACAATATAGAATGGATTTGTGGGAGCTCACTCTCCCCATCCCCTGACATTGCTGGGTTCTGTTTCTCACACTCTGTGTGAATATTTTGTTTTTACTGGTTTTGTGCAATCATCTGCTCTCTCTGGGTGCCTGTAATGCATTTCACTCCAAGGCAGACAGATGGTAGTAATCTGGAACACCATCCACCATTAACCCTCTGCTGGCCCTTCTTGCTGTACTGTAGTTGTGGAGATCGGCATATCGCAGGCCAGTGTTGCTTAAGTACAGCAAGAGGTCTACGCTGTTTTTCCAAAAACAAGGACAGGCTTTTGTGTTTTGGTGGATCATAGACTCATAACATGAAGGGAAACTCCATTTGTTATCTTTTTTTTACATAGTAAGTCTCCTACACAATTCAAAATCAGTTGCTCTAGGTCAAAAGTGGGCAAGGGTCCTAAACCACAGGAAATTCAATTATAAACAGTTCTTGAAGCAGGGCCATCTCCTCCCACATCTACCAACTCATAATTGGTCATTACGGCCACCCACCATAGTGATGGTCAAACAATTTGATGAGAGAGCTTGCGATATGGGGTGGATCTGGTGGGAGTATGACTCCAGAAACGTACATTGCTCCTTGCCGAACAAAGTGGTACCAGTTTCAGTTCTTCTGGGGCACCCTAGAAGCTGTCTGAAAAATATTGTTACCAACACTTCTGGGTTTCATAAAAATTGAAGAGGGATATGCGTCCGCGCCATGCACATTGACGTCACATCCGGCCCTGGAATGACGCACTTCTGGAGACCAGACGGGACCCATGTTGAAGACCGCCACCAACACACAATAATATGGCCTACACATAAAGTGCATGAGAGCAAGGGGGAAAGAATCAACTTCCCCCATTACTCTCCAAAGCCACAAAAACGGGTCCCCCACCCAAAGCCACAAAAATGAGTCCCCCACCCACACTGGTCATGTGGCTATTATTGTAAATAAAGATTGGCAATTAGTCTTTTAATATATGTTGTATGCTTTATACCTCTCTGCCTTTAAAGTCCCATGGGGTTCTCCTAACTTATAGGTCTTGATTTGTGTCTGACAAATACCCAGAACATGCCCAAAGGAACACTGGTGATATTTTATATGTCCTGCACCTAGGTGACCAATCAGGTGACCAATCAGTCCAGAAATCTGGGTGGGTTATGTAAAATGTAGAAAGTAATCCAAGGCTATAGAGTCTTATTTGCTAACATCTGGATAGTGGGGTCAGTTAAAAGATGCTTGGTGAATTTGGAGTAGATGAGATCTCCTCCGTG